CAATTTTACACGTGTCATAAAATATAATTTATATAGACTTGGTTTCTGCTCAGTTCTGTCCCTTCAATTTACATTTATCTTTGTTCCCCAATCTATATTAATCTCCCTCTGGTTGATCATACAGTCTTCACTGTGACTCAGCCATAACAACACTAATAATGTTTGGATCATTTTACAATGTCAAAACATCTAGCGTTCACTACTGGTCTTGAGTCTAATCAGAACCTTGTGAGACATAAAAAGATCCACTCTTTTATAGAACAATAAATAAGCGTCTTATCAATAGATAAGTGGTAACTTCAGTGAAAGGTAAGACAGTACACAATACTGGCGAAACCAGCACAACTTGTACAAGGAAAGGTCATGGAAGCTCCACAGACACATCCAAACTCCCTGAGGAACCAAACTGCTGGGCAGAAGACTGTGGGGACATGGTCTCAGGGAACATCTAGCTCAACTGGCATAACAGTTTATAAAGGAATGTTCTACATTCTACATTCTACTTTGGTGAGCAGCCATCTAAGATACTCCACTGGTCTCACTCCTTCGGGAGCAAGGGAGAATGAAGAAAATAAGATACAAGGGGAAGATCAGTCCAAAGGACTAATGGACCACAACTACCACGGCCTCCACCAGACTGAGTCCAGTACAACTAGATGGTGCCTCGCTACCACCGACTGCTCTGACCAGGATCACAACAGAGGGTCCCAGACAGAGCTAGAGAAAAATGTAGAACAAAATTCTAACTCACAAAAAAAGACCAGACTTACTGGCCTGACAGCAACTGGAGAAACCCCAAAAGTATGGCCCCCGGACACCCTTTTAGCTCAGTAATGAAGTCACTCCCAAGATTCACCATTCAGCCAAAGATTAGACAGCTCCATAAAACAAAACGAGACTAATGGGGCATGACAGTCCACAGATAAGGACTAGAAGGCAGGAGGGGACAGGAAAGCTGGCTGAGAAGGGACAGTGTTGACATGTCGTGGGGTTGTTAACCATTGTCATAAATATGTGTACTGTTTAATGAGAAACTATCTGTTCTGTAAACCTTCATCTAAAAATCACAATTAAAAAAAAAAAAAAGCATCTTACAAAAGCTGACCTGGCCAACATCAACTAGATATTACTTATTAGATGGGATAAAACTAGAATTCAAATTCAAGGTCTCTTTTACTCTGTAATCACAGAACTTCAGAAGAGATTAGCTACATAAGAGCAGTAAGTACACCCACTCCTCACTTATGGACTATCTTGTTATCCAACATTTTGGATTTACGACAATAGTAAAAAATCTACTATCTGACTATTTTACACATTAAAGATGTACAACACAGTATGTTGTACATACGACATAACACGGAACGCCAAGGTGTAAGTAACGCTGGCTGTGATGGTTATGTGCCAACTTGGCTGGGCCATGCTTCTCAGTTTTGGCAGTTATGTAATGATGTAGTCATTTTCCATTTTGCAATCTGATGTGGTCATCCTCCATTTTCCCATAATGCGAGTTTTCACATAATGATCTGTTCTTTAGAATCTAACCATGTCAATAAATGAGGAGTAGGTGTATTCTTAAATATCTGCCTTGTTCACTACTAAATGCCCAGCACCCATGATAGTGCAGGCACATAATAGGCACTCAAACATTTGCTGAGGCAATGAACGTCTTCTCTAGCACACGACTAACACTCTAGAGAGAAAAATCCCAGATTCACTGTTGAGAATATAGTACAGTAAATAAGTTGACACTTTTATATCCTTTCTCATTTCCAATGTAGAAATGCTATCCTTTATTTTCCAAATATGTGTAAGTATAAATTAGATAATATCTAACGTTTCAAGCCATTCAAACCAACTCTAGATTGCTCTATGAATTCAACATCCAGCATTACTGGTCTTATTTCACACGCAAAACAACTTCCCCTTTTACTCCAAATTTCCTGTAAAAGATTTTAGGAAACATAAAGAGATCTATCAGGTTTTAAAATAAAGCAGAATTAGCAAGTCAAATGTTATCATTTGTATTCACAGACTAGTGTTCCATGGAACTGGCGTAAGAGAGTGTGTGTGTGTGTGTGTCTGTGTGTGTGAACAGTTACACACACAAATAGTCAACTGATTTTCAACAGAAGTATCAAAGTATTCAATAGGAAACAACATCTTTTAACAAATGGTACTTGGACAACTGGATATCCACATGCATTATGCTGACTTATGTGCATAGGAAGATATTTTATTTCAGGATAGTAAAGGGGATTTTTTAAAGTACTTGTCATAAAAGGTGTATGCATCTGATTGCACTGATCTGACTGGATTCTATGCCACTGCTCTAGAGGTGCTATCCAATATGGCTACATGTTGCTATTTAAATTTAAACTAAAATTAATAAAATTTAAAATTAAGTTCCTCATTCACACTAGCCATATTTCAAATGCTCAATAATGAATACAGCTTGTGACTGCCGTGTTGAACAGCACAGACATGGAATACTTCCATCACTTCAGAAAGTTCTATTGGACAGCACTGCTCTAGAATAAGAGCTACAACACAGAACACTAAGGAAGCTATCTGTAGCAGAAGACTATAGATCAACAATTCAAATTCTGGCTCTTGCCATAGTTTCTTAAACCAATAAATGGAAATAGCACTTATTTCACCTGGAAATTAGGAAAAGCAGTTTGTAAACTAAAATACTATATAAATACTAGTTATGAAGTGATCCAAGAGGAAAATATTCCTGAACGAGAACCAACCATGTATCAAATCATTCACTCCTTCTTTCATTGACAAAAATAAAACAAGTAAAGATATAAATGGCTAAGAAGAAAACAAATATCTTCCAAATTTCTGAAACAGTATTATTTTACTTCTTTCACATTATGACCTTAAAAACCATTAACTATCAGCCATAATGGGTAACAGTATAGGATATGGGTTCAGAAATATCATTTACTGGCTTGTGTGACCTTAGAAAACTGCTTAAAATCTCTGCGCCTTCATTGTCTCATCTGAAGAGGACAACAATAGGCCCTTTCCAAGAAGAATGTTTACGAGGATTAACAAGTTAATACACTTAATAAAACTTAGAACACTGTCTAGCACATACTAAACATGGATAAATATTAGCTATTAAAATTCATTCAATACACTGATTGGGAGGTTAACATAAAGAAACAAACAAAAAACCTTACCTCCGCATCTCTTAAGAGTGGCCAGAAAGGTGGAAAGGTATAAATTTCATAAACCCATATAAATTTAGAATATCGACTCAGCAAGTAACAACATCGTACTTACAATACGAACCCAACCTTGTATCTGTGGGGTAAGAATTTGGCTAATTATGGGGACAATTACCAATTGTGAAGAATGGCTTTGGCTACTGTGGTTTTGAGTACATCCACAAATTATCTGACAAAAGGTGTAGCAGTCCAATTCTCCTCCCCTTGGTTGTAAGCTACACTTAGTGACTTGCTTCTAACGAACAGAATGTGGCAGAAGTGACTTCTCAGGCTAGTTCATAAAAGGCACTGTGCTTCTTTCTACTTTGCTCTCTCTAAGATCACTTGCTCTGGAAGAATGCAGCTGCCATGCCATAGACTCAAGTAGCCCTATGAAGAGGTCCATATGGTAGGCAACTGAGTCCTCCAATCAACAGCCAGCCTAATGAGCGCACCCTTTTGGAAACAGATCCTCTAGACAAGTCTTTAGACTACAGCCCTAGCCAACATCTTGACAGACTTTATGAAAGACGCGAGGGAGCCAGAACCACTCAGCTAAGCTGCTCCCAAATTCCTGACCCACAGAAACTCTAAGAGATAACAAGTATTTGCTGTTTAAAAAAAAAAAACAATTCACTCATTAAAAGAATACATATCTATGCTCAGTGAAAATCAAAGCAAGTTAACTTACTTTGTTACTAACATGCATATATAGTAAAGATAACTATTCCCGAAAACTTTTCCATTTAAGAATTTAAAATTTGAAAATTCTGAGTATCAAAAAAAACATAACCTATTCAACTAAGGTTTTAAAAACTCTTATTCTTGATTAAAAAAAAAAGGATGGAAAAATTTTTAAATATGGTTTTAAAAAAATCTCACCTGAAAACTGAATTAAAGGGCAAAAAATGAAAGATCAAAAACAATGCACCAACCTGTGGAGAGAAAGGACTCAAGAATAGGAAACTGAGTGGAATATCTTGAATAAAAAGATGCAAAAATTATCAATTATTTGAAGGAATATAGAGCAGAAGCCTTTAGCTATTCTGATGGGTGGGGCAGCTGAAAATAAGGAAAAAGGAAAGCAGGAAAAATTGAAAAACAGAGACCTAACCACAAAAGGTGTAGCAGTAATTCTGAACATACTGTTTTTAGTGAAGGTCCTGCTGAAACTAATAGACCTAACTCCTCAGGAAAATACATATTAAGTGCCCACAAATTTATCAATTTCATAGAATTCACATGAACAACTGTCTCCCACAGCCATCCAAGTAGCCAAAAAGAATGTTAATAATTTCTGTCATGTAAAACACTTTAAAATGTTGGGGGGGATAGGGAAGGGAACATGTCTCTTTCCCACCTATCCCCACCCCCAAATATGCCAAATACACTACCCTAAGGGCTGCTGAAGTAACAAAAATCAAGGGCTGTATTTTAGGCTGATTTTTCTGGTTACAGGACTACGGGGAGGGGAGAATGAGACCGTAGGCAAGGAGATGAGTTAGTAGGTTATTGCCTTAGTCGAGCACCAAGCTAGTATAGTAAATGAATTTGGATATGGGAAGGCAAAGTTATGCCAAAGTTATCTTTGACTTTTCATAAACATAAGGGAGAAGTCAAAGATACCATTTCAGATTACCATGAATGGAATACAGGTAAAACCATTAACAAGAGACCGAAGGAAGAAATAGTTTGAGGGAATATGATAAATATCAGTCTAGTGTATAAAATGCATTAAGCAGAATCTTAAAATATTAGGATAAGAATAAAACTTCCTACCTGTATTACACTTTACAAGTGACAAAGAGCCTTCATATGCAGTTATTTCAATCAGCTTAATGAAGAAAACTAAGGGCAAAAGAGGTTAGGTCAACAGACACGGTTAAACAGGCCCTTTTCTACCATATATTTCATATTCGAAACCAAAAGTTTCCTTTCTAACTCCCAGCCATCACCCTTTTTTTACATCACTACCTTACTTTGATCTAAACAGCTAAAAACTTTTATTGAAAGTGAAACAGAAGTTGGTTGAGTCAAAGACAACTGTATCATTCTGCTCTGGGTTTAGGCTCTATCTTCACTTGCTTATTTTACTTTCAGACTAGAGGTTCCTACCCTCATTCCCTTGTCCTAAAACTTTCCCAATTTTTTTCCTTCATTCTCCTCACTGTTCTTTCCCTATTATTCCTCCATTCTCAATTTTAAAGTGTCAGCAGTTTTACACATAAAAATCCATGTAGTATCCTCTGTTGGAAAACTAGAAAAACTACAAAAATATGCATTGAGCACTACACCTGTGTGAAGAAGCTATGGGTGAATGAGATCTGAATGTAATCCGAAACCACATTTTAATTTTTAGTTTAAAAAGTTAGCATCCAAATATAGCTCATTGAAATCCAGTCATTTCTGACTCATAGCAACCCTATAGGACAGAGTAGAACTGCCCCATAGAGTTTCCAAGGAGCGCCTAGTGAATTTGAACTGCTGACCTTTTGGTTAGCAGCCGTAGCTCTTAACCACTGCGCCAACAGGGTTTCCAGCCTCCAAATAGCTACTAACAAATAGCAAAACTAACAGTAGTTCCTCGTGTTTTATCTCCAAGTTCCTTTGTAGTCAGTAATCAATGTTAAGCAAAGAGAAGCAGTACACAGAAAGAAAAACAAAAGGATAATTCTCAAACACAATGAGTTTAATAAAGTAGAATCTACAAGAAGGCAGTACAAGTATGTCATAGTGGTTAAGAGTGAGCTCTAGAGTCAGACTGCCTGGAAACTTGATCAAGCCTCTAATCACATCCTAACTAACTAACTTTCTCCCAGGTTCAAGCTCCTTAAATCTTCATTTTCTCACCTATATCACTGCGGCATAGTGGTTAAGAGTTCAGGTGCTAACCAAAAGGTCAGCAGTTTGAATCCAGCAGGCATTCCTTGGAAACCCTATGGGGCAGTTTGCCGTAAGTCGGAATCAACTTCACAGCAATGGGTTTATCGCTGTAACTGTAACAATACTTTCCTCATAGGATTATTGTAAGAATTAAGACATACCATGTAAAGTACACAGCAGAACACATAACACAATCATCAGTATGAACTTCAGGCATTATTATTATTTTTAGTTTAGGCAAAGGAGAAAAAAAAAACAGAAGAAAAAAATAGGAGCAGAGAGAAGGAAAAAGGGGTACTTCTGTAGGGAAAAAAAGCAGTTCAGCAATTGCTCCAATTACTAACTAGTGGTACTATATATTTCAATCCCCAGAAAAATCAATTAAAAATATTTATCAAAACATTCAAGTAAGTGACTCTACCTTGAACAATCGCTGTAAGCAAAGTTCACAAATGTTAGACTATTCAAGGATTTAGTTAATTGCTAAAACCCCTGGTCTCTGCAGTAACCTTTATCCTGATACTACAGCTTTTGAATAATAATATCAATAGGAGAAATTTAAAGGAAAACAATCACAAATAATAAACGTAATGTGGCTCTTCTCTATGAATAAAGGTCATTCATTTTCAGTTCAACTTCTTAACCACATTTAAGATGCATATTATTAGACAAGGAACTTAAGAAGCCATTAAATTGAGGAATGCATAAAATAGGCTTCCCCAGTGAAAGGGAGGAGGATGTTCTTGCCATATTTTCATACAAATCAAGGTGGAAACTCCCTTAGAAGTACTTACACACAACTCTTACAGAGAAAACACATACAACCTAGTCTATGATGACAGAATTACTGAACTATCTAATCTCAATTTTAGTTCAGAAAATAAATTCCATACATGAATATATGAATACCTATATTCTTTTGGACTCTACTACCTTTTGCTCTAAGTGAGTTAACAGGATTCAACAGTCTAGCAAAAGAAGTTGTTTCGAAATGAGAGCAACTGACAAGTTATTAGACAACCTTGCTAAAGCATTAAAAAAATCACAACCTTTTATCTCAGAAAAGTAGTTAAATAAAATAAACTTAACTACATTAATCTCTTTACTACTATTCATTGCTTAAAAGATAAATTTTAGTGAATTTTTTTAGTAACAGTAAACACTAAGTGCCTCAATCATTGAAAAACTAAATGTAATAACTAATGTTAACTAAAAACACGTTAATTCTGAAAAATACAAATATCATTAAAAGACAACTCTCCCGTTGTGTCAAAAGGATTTCTATTACAATTAATATTTACAACTTTTTAAAAAAACTTTATTTTGTGTATAAACTTAAGCCAGCACAACCTTCCTTGGAGAGGGGAAAAAAAATGCTTTTTTTTCCTAAAGTTATTTTAAAAGTTCTTAACGCAGTTTGCTCAATTCCTCTCAATTTCCGCTGCTGGTAATGTTTATCCTTTTGTTGCTGTTTCTTTTTGGAACTAAAAATCTTAAAGAACAATTTTAAATAGAAAACCACTTCAACAAATTGTTTCAAAAACTTGATTTCTGTAATGGATTAAAATGTTAGGAAACGTTATGCCTTAAAACAAGCTACTTCATGAAACATCAGATTAAAAACTAAGACCAATATTATAATTTATACATAACTACATAACTCTCAACTGAACACCCAACTACAATAATTCCTCCCATTTAGAATGTAAACTGGCTATCGAGACACATGAAACACTTGTTGGGTTTTTTCCTACCTTCCTAGCAATCTATCTACCCATAAAACCTATGGTGCATTCTGACCATAAAGTTTTCCTTTAAGAGCACAAAAATTTATAATTTAGGACTGTCTGAATCTGAAATATCCCTAAATCTTTTTTACCTGTATTTTAATTTACTGATAATGGTCATTAATAGTTGTTTTCAGACTGTCCAGGAAACGGAAGCCAAGCAGTATTATTGCAAGAAACCGAAAGGCTTCCAAGAATAATACCGGATAAACACGACTCTCATTACAGTTTACAAACATTTAATTTGCTCACCAAAATAGTACTTACAAATTTCAACAGGACTGCACAGGAAGGTGTTGGATTTTCCCCTGTAATCTTTATGCTTTCCAGTTTGTTTTTTTATTTTGTATCCTCTGAAATAATTCCCAAGTTCTTTGAAGAGCCTTAACCTATGACTATTTGACATAGAGTTTCTTCAAGTCAGCTACCCATACTTGTGTAAAGTTTTCATATGGCTATCTCCAGAATTAGCCAAGTTCCTTGAATTTAAGATTACAAAGTCTTCTGAGGCCTGTCTTCTTTATTATTCCATGTACTTGTCACTGTTGTACTTATCCACTCCACAGGAAATATCCAATTTATGAGCCAAAAAGCAAAAACAAAAAGAAAATTTCACATCTGAAGAGCATTCCTAAACATCAGCATATACAGCGAGACACACAGCTATCTCGATACTACCATGCTGCTGGGAAACTGCAACATCTTAAATTTCCACGTAAATAAAAGATAAAAGGAAAAAAACTCTGTATTCTTTCAACGTCTTCATTTAGAAAAGCTGTCCCATTGTGATATGAAACAGGCTGAGATCAAAAATTCCTAAAACTTTCAATAAAAGCAAAAATAAACTACCATGAAACTTCAGCAATATTTAAAGAGTAATTTGAAACTGCTGAAACTACTCAGTACACAAATCAAACATATCTTACAGTTTTGGCTGAAGAACACCAATGGGGGAAGGGGGTAAGAGACAAATTTCCACCAGCTGAAATACTTTAACAGATTATATAATCCGTTTGAACGAAAATACTGAAGTAGCTTCTTGAATTGTTCACTGTTACCAATTTACTTCACAGATGATTCTTGCCAATTTTAATAAACTTCTGTGGCAAAAATATCCAAACCCACTGTAATTCCAAAAGGCCACTTCAAATATCCAGGGCCTTTTACACAAAACCTAGAAGACGATCTTCATATCTGAGTAATTCAATCACCTGTAAAAGTTACAAAAACAAATTAAACACTGAGTTTTGATTTTGATCTAAAAATCAGTCCCTACCCTAATAAGTCAATCTCTGGAGAGAAATTCACTTCTGTACAATTCTACCGGGGCCTGGAAAAGGACTTTGTCCAAGCAAACATCCAGTAAAAGTCTACTGAATGAAAAGGGCTTCACAGTAGAGGGGAGAAAAGGTGGGTGATGGTGTTACACGGAGGACAAAGTACTGATTTGAACTGGGGAAGAGGGTGCGGATATAAAATTTGAGGACGTTACATAAGCTAACCCTCTTACACTTTTTGAGTAAATAGTAGAACTATGAAATCGGCACACAATCTTACAAAAAGTCTTCTCTGTTTCTTATCCAAAGGAAAACGGACAGACAGGTGTGCTGCCACGAAGCATTAGGAAACGTAACTTAGGGAGCTACAGATGTAGAAACCAAGACGGTCCCTCCAAATTGGAATACCTAAAAGGGGCATATTTTCCCCAGAGGTGAGAAAGGTGCATAAGAAGTGGGGCAAGAACGTTTCTTAAATTCGCCAGAGGGTGAGACTTCCCCACTTCTGAGGGGAGTACTGGGATAAAGATATAGATCCTCATTTCCTTGAATTAAGAAAACAGGTTTCTCCCAACACTGAGGGGGTGGAAGGTACCGAGCCCTTCTTGTAAACCTCGGACACAGCGATTCTCTCCAAAGTAAAAGGGACAGATTCTCTCTCCACAGGACTGAGAGAAACAAGGTAGCACCCGCCCCAGTACACGGCAAGTACCAGGGACCTGGGAGAGGCGGGGAGAGAGGGCGCGCTGCTGAAGAAACAGCCGAAGGCCACAACTCGGCCTCGGCTCCGAAAGAGGCAGTGGTGCAAAAGGAGGCGGCCAAGTGCCACAGGCCAGCGGAAGGAAAACCGAGCACAGGGGGTGTCAGACCCATTCCCTGCCTCCACTAACCACCACCCCCACCTCAGCCACCAAGGCTAAGCCACCCACCCTTCCCCACAACCGTGCACCTCCGCCCTACTGGAATCAAGTCAACATCAAGAGGGGCCTTCCAGCGCCTCCTTCCCTTCTCTCGCCTGGCTGCCCGACCCCCTCCCCCTCCACCGTCTACGGGCAGCCTTACACCTCGCGCCGCCAACGCCGCTCCCGACCCCTCAATCCCCAACGCCGACACGGGAACCCCCCTCCACGACTCTGGCTCGGAGCACAGAGAACAGTGTTACCTTCTACCCCACCAGAGGTGCCCCTGGCCTGGGGTACCGCTGCGTTCGATCCCGGGAGGAGGTTTTCGGTACTTTGAATAATCCCCTTTTGCCGCTTTTCCCTCCCCCACAACCAGTCTCAGTCCCAAAATGGCGCCGACCCGATCCGCAATGTTCTGGGCCAAGTCTCGCGAGATCGTGGAAGGTGGCGACGCGGGGAAGGACCTAGAGGAGTAGACGAGAAGAGGAAAGGGCGGGGCGAGGATAAGGAGGAGGGAGAAAGGGTGTAGAAGAAGCGTTGCAAACGAACCTACTGGGCGGGGCAGCAGGAGGAGCAACTCCCCAACAGAACCTTCTGGCCCAAGCAACCGCTCACGCCTGGGTCAAAGAAGCTCCGCCCTCTACGTCGAGCGCATAGCGGGTGGGGGATGAGGGCGTGGCTATGCGTGGAGGCGGTGCTTCGAAGCGGCCCAGGCGGCAGGGGCGCGCGGGGGGCGGTGGCTCCGCACGTTGACGTCAATAGCAGCTGGAGACGGGGGATTACCCCCTGCTGCTGACGTGAAGATGGTGAACAATCGGGAACGTTCGGTGGAAGGGGGAATTCCCCGCCACTCCCTGAGGAGCCCCTCCTCACGCCCCTCCCCACTCCGTGGCGGCTTCGGAGCTTGTGGGATGTGGGGCTGAGGGGAGGGCGAGAAGGAAGCGCTGCTCCTGGAGACGGCCGCGCGTGCTCGTCTGGCGCGCGCCGCATCGTCTTCCCGGGCTCCTAGCTCGGAGGAGCTGTGGCGCGCGCCACTCTCCAGTTACTGCGCTCGGGTCGGGATGGAATCGGAGATCACATGCCCTTCTGTACACAATCCTGCACTCTCGTCTGGCCGGAGGGTTGGCCGTGTTGGCGCACGACAAATTAAGCGCCCTGAAGCAAAAGAGCCACCGTCACATGCAAGTACGAGACTGTGTCGGATGTCAGTTATATATATGAGAGGATGAAACGAGACTAGCTCTAAACTAATCACAGATTCTGAAAGGGTAAAAATGGTTACTGGATATAATCATGCTAAATATAATTTTTCTTTCCAATAAGTCTACAGTAGTTGGATTACTTCAGCAGAGGTCTCAGAGTCCCACGTACCCCATACGGTTTTTTAAATGAATTTTATAGTATTCACAGTTGTTTTTTTAATTGTGATAACCTTATAACGGAAGGCTCACTTTGAAATCTTGAAGCGAGTATTCCTGGAGGAAGTAACCACGTGTGCTTAGAGGAAGGGTGGGGGAGGGTATGTTAACGAAGGACAATCCAGATAATAAAAACTATTTGGCGCTTTGCCCGCTCCCAAGCCACAAAGACTTCATACACAGAAACTTAATGATCCTTTTATGTGTACTGGGGGTTTGTAGTTTAATGGAGTGCTTCTAAAAGCTCCCCGAAAGAATGTTTGAATGTAAACTCACCAAAAATTACACCTCCCAACCTTTTATTTTAGTCTTCACCGGGGAAATGAACACTTCTGGCAATTAACACTACTCCACTGAGTGCAAAGGAAAGGAAATTAATGCTTGCTAGGAGCCCTGGTTAAGTGCTACAGCTGCTAACCAAAAGGTCAGTAGTTTGAATCCACCAGGTGCCCCTTGGAAACTCTGTAGGGCAGTTCTACCCTGCCCTGTAGGGTCGCAATGAGTCGGAATTGACTCCATGGCAACCAGTTTAGTTTGTTTTTGGTTGAGGAGCCCTGGAGGCACAGTGGTTAAGAGTTCGACTGCTAACCGAAAGGTCAGCATTTCGAATCCACCAGCCCACTCTTTGGGAATCCCATGGGGCAGTTCCACTCTGTGCTGTAGGGTGGCTATGAGTCAGAATGAACTGCAGGGCAACAGTTTTTTGTTCTGTTTTGTTTTTTGGTTTAGATACCTCGTCTGTGCCAAGCACAATAATCCTTATATCAACTTCTGAGGTCGGGGTTGTTTTCCTCATTTCGCAGATGAGGAAACTGGTTCAAGTAAAGTAACATGTTTAAGGTTATACACATGAATGTTGGGTGTCACAACTTGGCTGTACCAGATTCAAACTCAAGTCTGTTTGAGTGCTGATCCACATTCGTTCCCTCACATCACGTTGATTCAGCAGAAGTGTTGTTAGGTGCCTCTACAGCATCAACTCATAGTGACCCTACGCCAAGCAGAACGAAACGCTGCCAAGTCCTGCACCATCCTCACAGTCGTAGCTATGTTTGAGCCCTTGTTGCGGCCACTGTGTCAATCTATCCCGTTAAGGATATTCCTCTTTTCGTTAACCTTCTACTTTATCAAGCATGATGTCTTCCAGAGACTGGTCTCTCCTAATAACATGTCCAAAGTGAGACAGTCTCACCATCCTCGCTTCCAGGGAACATTCTGGCTGCCCTTCTTCCAAGACAGATTTGTTCGTTTTTCTGGCAGTCCATGGTATAGTTAATATTCTTCTCTAACACCATGATTCAAAGACATCTTCTTCGGTCATGAGGTATTGCACTGGGCAAATCTGCTGCAAAAGACCTCCTTAAAGTGTTAAAAAGCAAAGATAATCGCCTTGAGGACTAAGGTTTGCCTGATCCAAGCCATGGTATTTTCAAAAGCCTCATAAGCTTGTGAAAGCTGGACAGTGTATAAGGAAGACCATTCAGTAGAAGTACAGGTAACTTATTCAGAGAGAACCTGCTTCTGTTTCTAAGCTTGATGTCAAACCAAGAAACAACAAAGGAAAAAAACTGATAGATTTGAATGCACCATACACACACACACAATTTATGACTTTCATTTGGCAAAAGACGCTGTCATGGATTGAATTATGTCACCCCAAAAGCGTGTGTATCAATTTGGCTGGTTCATGATTCCCAGTATTGTACCATTTTGTAATCTGATGTGATTTCGTTGTGTGCTGTAAACTCTATTGTTATGACGTAATACGATGGATTAGTGGCAGTAATACTGATGAGGTATACAAGATTGAATAATGTCTTAAGCCAATCTGTTTTGAGATATAAAAGAGAGAAGCAAGCAGAGACACATGGGAACCTCATACCACCAAAAAAGCAGTGCCAGAAGCAGAGCACATCCTTTGGACCGGAGGTTCCTATGCAAAGAAGTTCCCAGACCAAAGGAAGATTGATGACACGAACCTTTCTCCAGAGCCAACAGAAAAGAAGTTGCCTGGAGCTGACGGCCTGGATCTGGACTTGTAGCCTACTGGACATGAGAGAATAAACTTCTCTTTGATAAAGCCATCCACTTGTGGCATTTCTGTTAGAGCAGCACTAGATGACTAAGACAGACACTATTCCTATTTTCATCACTTTTATTCAGTGTTGTTCTAGAAATTCTAGCCAGAATAATCAGGCAAGAAAAAGAAATGAAAGATAACCAAATTGGAAAGAAAGAAGTAAAACTGTCTATATTCACTGATGATATTATCTTATGTCTAGAAAATCCTAAAGAATCCACAGAAAATAAAAACTATTAAAGCTAATAAATTTAGCCAAGTTACAGGATACAAGATCACCATACAAAAATGAGTAGTATATGTATACACTAACAATGAACAATCTGAACAGGAAATTTAAGAAAACAATTCTATTTACAATAGCATCAAAAAGAATAAGATTCTTGGAAATAAATTTAGCCAAAGAGGTATAAGACTTGTACATTGAAAACTATAAAACATTACGGAAAGAAATTAAATAAAACCTAAATAAATGGAAAGACATTCCACGTTCGTAGACTGGAAGACTTAATATTGTTAAGATGGCAATGCCATCCAAGGGAATTGACAGATTTAATACGATTCCTATCAAAATCCTAATGGTCTTTTTTGCCAGAATGGATAGAACACAAATGGTCACATACTGTCTGATTCCATTCATATGACATGTCTAAAACAGGCAAATTCATAAAGACGGAAAGAAGATTAGTGGTTGCCAGCAGCTAGGGGAGGGAGAGGTGACAAGTAATTGCTTAATGGCATGGGATTTCCTTTTGGGATGATAAAAAGTTCTAGAACTAGACTGTGTTTGATGTACACACAACATTGTGAATCTACTTAATGCCACTAAATTGTATGCTTTAAAATGGTAACTCTTATGTTATCTGTATTTTAGCAAAATAAGAAATTTGGGCAATGGACTTGAATAGATATTTCTCTAAAGAAGATCTATGAATAGTTAATTAGCACATAATCAGATGCTTAACATCGTTAGTCATTAGGAAAATGCAAATCAAAACCACAATGAGGTAACACTTCACATGCACTAGGATGACTATCATTAAAAAATTGAAAAATACAAGTGTGGAAAAATTGAAGCCCTCATACATTGCTGATGAGAATGTAAAATGGCACAGCTGCTGTGGAAAACAATTTGGCAGTTCCTCAAAAAGTTAAACATAGATTTACCATATGATCCAGCACTTCCACTCCTAGGTATATACCCTAGAGAGTTGAAAACAGGAATTCTAACACAAGCATGTACACTACAGTTCATAGCAGCATTATTTATAATAGCTAAAAATTGGAAACAACCCGACTGATGAATGGATAAACAAAATACGGTATATTTATACAACAGAATATTATTCAACAATAAAATTGAATGAAGTAATGATACATAGTACAACGTGGATGAACCTTGAACACATTGTGCTAAGCAAAAGAAGACAAACACAAAAGGCCACATATTTTACCCATATATATGAAATAGAATATGCAAATCCATAGAGACATAAAGCAGATGTCATCAGGGGTCAGGAGGAATGCTGAGTGATTGCTGATGGGCATGGGATTTCTTTGAGGTGATGAAAATATTCTGGAATTAGATAGCAGTGATGGTTATACAACATTGTGAATGTAAAAAAAGCCACTAAATTATAAACTTTAAAATGACTAACAGTGAATTTTATGCTATGCAAATCTTACCTCAATAAAAAAATAAAATAACTTCACCAGTACTGGTAAAAGCTATCAAGGTCTCCAAAAACAAGGAAAGTCTGAAAAACTGTCATAGTTATGGGAGCCTAAGAAGACATGACAACTAACTGTAATATAATATTCTGGATGGGATCCTAGAACAGAAAAAGGACTTTAGGTAAAATCTAGGGAAATCTGAATAAACTTTGGCCTTTGTTTAATAATGATGTGTCAGTATTAGT